ATATGTCTGTATAAAACACAAAGTGTGGACCATTCCCCATGTTTGATGATTCAGGTTACAATATTTTATTTTTACCATGATGCGGAATGAATTAATTTAGTAAAAAACATCACCTGGAGTTTTGGTTATTTAAAATCTTTTGCTAGAAAGCAGTGTGGTCTACGATTCTGTCTGGTGAACAGCAGTAGTGAACCTCAGCTATTCACCAGCCATTCAATCCAGATTTTAGAGAAACACTCTACAATAATGTTTTATTGAACTATAAGGGGTGGAAGCCAGATTTATAAAATAAAATTGTAAGTTTTTATATGATCAACCTGACATAGGGAGCATCTATACTACATTCTGAAATTATTAAAAGAATCATAATACAAAATTCCCACATGGCACTATCATTCAGATAATTGTTTCTGTCAATATGACCATTTGGGTTATCTAATTGGCTCCATATATTTGTTTCACAATGAAATAATGTTGCTGTTTGTTATCATCAGAGTAGAGAAGGGCAAGACTTGATTATTGTAGTTATTTCTACAGGAGTAAATTTAAGTATGTTGTTTTTTGCTTCTAGAAAATATTTAGTTGATTATTCCCAAGGCATGAACTGGAAGTTTCAGCCAAGAGTTTGGTAACTATTTTCCTTTCCATATGAACATAGTTTAGATAATTATTTTTATACCTTTTATATTAATTTCTAATTTTATCCTGACATACTATATTTTTGTGAAAATAATAGAGGCAGTGATTGTGCACAATTTCCCAACCATCCTAGTTCCTAACAGTGAGTTTGGTTATTATATCATTATATCTTTTTTCACTATATCTTTTCTCATTATATCTTTTTTAATCATTTATCTCCAATTTCATCTTTAAGGTGTCCTGTTAATACTATTCATTAAGGCGGGTATAGGGAGACTGTTTTAAAAAGATGGCATTCAGGCCTGGAGAGATGGTTCAGCAGTTAAGAGAACTTGCAGAGAACATGGGTTCAGTTCCCAGCACCCACCAGAGTCCCTAACTCCAGTTTCAGGGGATGTAATGCTCTCTTCTGACTTCCAAGAGCACGAGGCATGTAGGGGTTACACAGGCAAACATGCAGGAAAAATACTCATAACTCATAAAATAAAATACAGACAATTCTAACTTTTCCTCAAGTTGGCATGACTGTACGAATGTTAGAAAGTAGTGAGGTTTTTATTGTTTATCATGCCTCATTTGAGTCCTCAGATATCCTGATTGGAATTGATCTCAGTGAAAGCTCTTGGGTGTGCTACAAAGAGCTGGAATCGATCCATCTTAAAGGTACATTTGTCCACAGGATCTCCAAGGTGCTCAGAAATAGTTACTCTAAAGCATGGACAGCAATGATTAAAGAATCATTTGCAAGCTAAACAGGGACAAGTCTCTGTCAGAATAGAAGAAAGTTGGCAACTAATTACACTCATTTAAAACCCATTACTTAGCGTTTAATTAGACAAAAAGAGAAAAGAGTGAGGCTGCTATCTAATTAAAATAGAATTTGAAATATGAAACTTGACAAAGTGTGGTCTCTTGGAATATAACCAATGACTTAAAATGAATCTTTTTGAAGTTAAGTTCCTGGGAATTGCAGAGAAACAAAATTCAGTGCCTCAAGTAAAGAAATACGTCAATATTAATAATAAATAACATGTACGAATAGGTGAACTATCATCATTTGGAATACTAAATGAATGAAGATGGCTAGCAAAATCACAAAGTTGTCTCATAATCTCAGTAAATATAAATTAAAAGGATTATTTGGCTATCTATAAATATAATTGTATTCTCTTTATTAATTTAAGAATATTTAATCTATTTATGATCAATAAAAATCTATATTGTACAATTGAATAGTTTAAAAGCTACATATCTGTTTACTTGTGCTTGTAATTGAAGAATATGTGTTATGGAAATCTGATCTGTCTTAAGCACACACACACATGCACGTATATGACGTGTATACACATATGCACATAACTACATGTTCATGAAAGTAATTAAGGGGTATTGGAGAGATGAGTCGGGGGTTAAGGATACTTGTTGATCTTTACAGAAGATTAGGGTTCAGTTCCCACATATGGCTGCCCACATCTAATGTAAGTCCAGCCCCAACCAATCTGACATCTTCTAGCCTTCATGGCCACTGCACTCACATCCCATATATTCCCACAGACTCACACACGCAATTAAAAAAAAAAAGAGTACAAGGCAGAAAATGTTAATTAATTTCCATGATTTTCCTATTTACTTAACATTTATTTATGAAATCATTCCTAATTTCACACACTCACAAATTAGTAAAAGTTTGATGTCTTCAGTTTACCAGTATTGAAAGAGCCATAAAACGATTTTATGTATTCAGTTCCTGTCAGTGAACATTTTTATAAGGAAATGAGTGATCCTTTTTATATGTGTGTATTACCAAGTTGATATGCATTGGGTGAATCTGAGTCACTCCTGTTAAAGTCAAAACGAAGGTTGAGTTCCTGATTCTTAATTCATTATCCACTTAGCACTATGGATCGAGTTCATTTTCTCTCTTGCTCAGCTTCAGGAAAACTAGTTATTAAGTAATAATGCAAGAAAATATGTTTGCAGATCTTACATTAAAGCTCGAAGAGGCTTAAAATCAGTGAACTCTATAAACAGGAAGTCAAACAGAACACGTTTAGTATCCCTGAGCCCTCCTCATCTACTTCTTCACTCAACTGAAGTAACCGCCCCTCGGATTTCAGGTGTTTTGCTTTGTTTTTGTGTCTGGCATATAAGTTTAATACAAATTGAACCACAAAATGTGTTTATGGGAAGGACGGCTTGGCCATTAATTCAAGATTAGCTTGGTATAATCCATGCATGTTACCATGTAAGAGTTAGGTCCCCGTTCTCAGCTTTGTGTGGTATTTCTTTGCATGGATACAATCCAATTATAGATTGTTTTGTACTCAAACAGTTGTATGACTTTTACTTTAAAGATGATATAAATAATGTTCCTATAAATTTTTTAGGTATAGTTTAATGAATGTATTACATTTGCAAAAATATAATTGATCTTCGAATAGGTACATATTCAGCTAATCAAACTATCAATTAAGTTCCCCAAGAATGTTTTACAATGGATTTTTTTTGTCCTGATGGATTTTAAAATTCATTACTCAAAATTTAGGTAGAACTTTCAAAGTGCAGCATTAAATATTATATTATACTCCTGTTTATAGGTTATCTTTGCCTTCCAGATCTTACATGCTTTATTGTATATATTATCCTGTATTTCTAATGGTCTCAAATATGATATCAAATATAAGTGGTGGTGAAATGTCTTGATGGATGGTTGTGGAATTTAGTATGTGACCATCATTAGACTAATATTTCTACATCTGCCCCTAAGTAGGTGACTTTTCTACTGGGTCCAACAAGAAGACTTGGGGGAATTACAGACATCATATTCCAAAGGAATCAGGGGCCAAAGAAATAAATAACAGTCAGTGTAAAATGTTGAGATATAGTAGATATGCTCTAAATTAGAGGCACATCTTTGCTAACTTATCTGGCAAAAGTTGAGAACACTGGTGTAGTGATATTTCATTTGTATTTTAAATAAATAAATCTTGCGTAAAGACCAGAGGCAACGCTGAAGCTACTAGAGGTCAGGCAGTGGTGACACACACCTTTAATCCCAGGATTTGAGAGACAGAGGCAAATGGATCTCTGTGAGTTCAGGCCACCCTAGGCTACACAAGATCAATGCAGAACAAATCCCGATGGTGGTGGCTCAAAACTTTAATCCCAATACTAGGGAGTAACATACCTTTAATCCCAGCACTAGAGGGAATATGAAATGGAAAGCGAGCGAGGCTCTGTCTGCTTAGGCTACAGTCACCTAGCCTCGATAGAGGTACAGCTTCTCTAGTAGTGTGGCTGCTTTGCTTTTCTGCTTTTTGGGTTGAGATTTGTTTACTAAAATACAAATAATATACTACTATACACTGGCCTGGCTCAGGCTCTGAGTTCCTCCAGGAGAATAGTTTATATTAAGATATATTTATTTTTTATTTTCTGCATGTGAGTGTTTGTGTGTATGCATATGTACCATATGTGAGTATTGCTCATAAAAGCCCGAAGAGGGTGTTGGAAACCTTGGAAGTGGAGTTACCAACAGTTATGAAGCCCCATGCTAGTGCTGGAAACCAAACTTCAGTGCTGCTCTACCCTTAACTGTTGAGCCGTCTCTCCGGACACCCAAGTCTGAGCTTTATAATGCCAAAACAGAGACCTTCTCCACCTAAACCTTGCCAATGTAGTAACATCTAAAGTTTTCTTCATTAAAGTTGAAGAACATGAAATAATATAGTTTTGAAAATAATTAAGCCTCTTACAACCTCTGAGGACAAGGCGTGAAAAGACACCATCCCCAAACACTAATGTCCATGTCTTGAAGAGCAAACATGAACCAGAGGGAGATTCCAAGCAGCAAGGTTATGACCAAACTTACACCACTTAGTGCACAATCAGATGAATATGGCCATCTTCCTGGCTCGAACACTTATGAGTAAAGCCTTTATGAAACAAACTATGAAATGATGTCTTTAGACTTCAATATTAAATTACTAGGCCTGTGCAATAGGAATACATAACTAATATTACAGACTAATAGATCTCTCTTTCTGTTCTCTGTGTATGGGGGCCCATGCAAGCCAACAATTACTCAAATCATGATTTAAAATATTTAAAATAAACATGGGCAGGGAAATATAAAACAATGAAGAGAATGGGCATTAGGAGAGGGAATTGGAAGATAATATTAGAACCCAACCACAGATTTAGGACAATTATGTGGCATATAAGAAAAATAACATATGAGATTAAAAACCAATTAATAGGTTAGCAATGGGTTAGACAGAAGATGGCAAGACTTTGGAAGCAAGGGCAGGTGGGCCCAAATAAGATGTAAAAGAGCCCCGAGGAAAACCAGAAATTTACTCACCTGAGGGACTGGATTCCATTGAATAAGGCAGGGGAGAAAGAGGAAGCATTACATACAAGAGAACAAACCCGGGTTATTTATTTTATTTTGTTCATTATAGGTGGCTGTCAAAGAAACAAAGGTATTAAGCAATATCATTCCATTTTCATAAAATATTCTGAGATATCTCAGACATCTTAAATGTAAGGTAATCTGAGGTTATGATCAGCTGTGTTTGATGGCCCATGTTCCTCATCCCTGCACTTAGGAAACAGAGGCAAGAGGATCAGTTGTTAAAGACCAGAGTGCAGTCTGGGGTGAGTGAGATTCAATCTTAGAAATAGAGTGTAATCTTATCTTTTTTGAGCTACGTAGAACCTCTAGGATGATTAAAATGAGTTGCTTCTAAAGTCTTCTGTTTACTTCTGTGGTCTCAAGCAATTTGAAAATGTTTCTGGAGCAAATAATGTCTGAATTTTTATCTATGTGTGGAGATGCTATGAGGAATTCTCTTAGCAATATGACCCACTCAGTTGGAAGAAAGGAGAAATTATTTGTTTTTTTTTTCTCTGCAAAACCATTCAGTTGCACACTCCAAAATAAGGAAAAGCATATTTTGGGAAACAACATCACAGTTTTTATCATTTGCCTAAAGTGATCTAAATTAAACTTACTGCAATATTAGCAGTCAACCCTTGGCCTAACCAGGTCTATTCCTGCTAGTATAGCTCCACAATATCTTACAAAGCATCGGTCTTGTAAATTTTTTGAACCCTGCCTCATTTCTCATTCTGTTATTCATGACTTAAAATCTGACACACAAGAGGCTTTATCTAACATTTTCTTACAAATGTCTACTCTATTGAAATTCAGAAAAGGAATTCAGTTCCTTTTTTTACAAACCAAACACCTTGAAGAAATTGTCTCAGTTCTCTGAGCCTCACTGTGTTCACCTGTCAATTTAGTCTGATAAATGGTACGCATTCCCCCGAATTTCACTAACTTACAACATTCTGTGTTGATCAATATTTTATGACAAAATCTACTCTCTTGGGCTTATGGCTGTGTGGGACGCTATACCCCTACTTTGTGTATATGGAGTGGGTGCCTAAGTGTGCACATAGCATTAGGTTCTGCTGCTCTCTGCCTTATTCCTTGAAGACAATGTCCCTTATGAAGCTAGAGCTAGCAGATTTTCAGTAAACCAACTGCTCCTCTTGTCTCTACTCACTCCAGAAATGCCAGCCTGGAGGTTATAAGCAATTTTACAACTTTCTATATGACTGTGTGGATTCAGGACTTGATGTTTATGCAACAAGAAACTAACCTGCAAAGCCTTCTTCCAAGACTCATAAAAATGATGATTTTAGTCACTGTATTAGTTTACCAGAAGTTAATAGTGTGAAAACCATTAAATTAAAATTACAGAAATGAAAAACGTAGAGCAGACACCACTCAAAATAGCCCACAAATCAGGTTGTGATGTTTTATTGGAGGTCAGCCGCTCCCATTTGCTCCCACCATTCTGACTTCTTTCCTTTTACACTTGAAAATACAATGAAATACTTAAATCCCTCCCTTGATAACCCACAGTTCCCAAACGATTCAGGACTTTTGCCAAGTAACTTAGCGAATCGTGACTTAGAACACTGCCTCATAAGACACTGCATATTAATTGTTGAAGTAAATAATCTCTTTACTAAAGCCGTCCATACTTCATTGCCCCTCTTAAACACTCACTGATAAGTTTAATTGCTGTTGAGGAAAGTCATTATATGCAAGCCCATTTATAAATTCTTCCTTTAAAAAGCAGTTTTGCAAAACACACTCAATTTGTTAATTTGCTAGTAAACTCTTTCTGTGGCAGAGAACAAATTTCTGCTATACGATTTTATGATTTAAGGCTAGCAGTTTTGCACAGCTGGGATAAATACATTTTGCATTTGACTTAATGAGTCTTATAGAGTCTAGTGAAAGCTACTAGCTTGTGTTGTTGGAAGTAATGTGAATTTCTCTTTTAACATACCTCTTAAGCCAGAACTTACTTATTCCTAATAAAACATCTGAGCAAAAAAAAGAGATGCATATCCCATACTGTTTGAAACTAATGCAATTTAACAACAAAATCGTTAGCTAGCATTGACGGCTGCAGAGAAAACTGGTCTAACCAGAAACTTCGGACATCTGTGGCTTTTTCCTCCTGCTATTTCAGGAAACCTCATTTAAATATGGTTCCCATGAAATGCTGGATTATAGTCAACAACCAACGTGGATCCATCAAAGGGTTATTGTTGTGATACCCCACACCAGAAACAATTGCAACGGTGAGTCACTACACATCTGTATGTGTGTGTGCAGGAAGTGCCTTAGTTTTTATGTTCAAACTTAGGGTTGCAATTATTTTACAACAATTCCTATTATACTTAGAAAGGACATTGAAAACAAACTCAGTAAATAATTGTTTACTGAAGAATAATTAAACTGTTCATAATGCATCATAAATCAATACCCAGATGGAGATGAATTTTATTAACCACAAAAATGTGTAATGATTATAATGTGGTCAGAATATCACTACAGTGGTTAACATAAATATTAAAATTATTTCTTAGCTCTTATAACATAAGGAGATGCTAAGCAGCCAGAAATAATAGTAAAAACATGAAGAAAAGTTATGAGAAAGAATTCATAGTTTTGTGCCTGTGCTGTGGTGGAGGGGTACAAAGTATCCATGAGGTTGTTACTCATATTCCCATTAGTAAAACAAATGCCAACTTACTTAACATAGTTGTGTTGAAATATGATAATATCCAGTGAATTTAATTTTAAATACATTTATTATATTTTTACTTGATATGATCTTTTATGAAATGGTTTCTTGCCTGTGTTTAAATTTCAAGTATTGATAATTAACACAGGGCAAAACCTAACTCTCTCTTCCATCTTCCAAGGAATTAGTCACGGCAGGCTCTCATCTTCAATATTTTAATTAACCTTTTGTCATCTGCTTCAAAATAATTCCAACAAAAATAAACATTTGCAACAGCCACTGATACAGGAGACTTTTGTTATCTTCTCCAACGTCCCAAAGTTTGCTATTTTAAAATATCTATATGTGGTGTTTTCATGATTTTAACAATGTTAAACTCCCATGATGCTGAGCCTTTAATTGTATGAGCTATATCTTATTTATTGTACACTGTTATGGAGCTTGATGTGTTATTCTACTCGTTCTCCCCTTCTGTTCTCCTGTCTCTTTCATTAACTCTGAAAACTAATTTTACCTTCTGTCAGATCGCCTGTTTGGTCAACTGTTTTCCCCAGAGATGCCTTTCCAGATCCAACTGAGCTCCTCCTGCCATCTGGACCAGGTACATTTTTGGGTCAGATTCCTCATTTTTGTCTCATCTTCATCTCAGTTCCCTTTATCTCCCCCTTGAGGAAAGTTTCCTCTTTCCTAGATCTCACGTCTTCATTTTTCTTGTTTATTTGTTTTGTTGAGCACATAGTAACAAAGCCTTTTGCCCACCTTTGGTGAATGAGCAATGCAACACTTGCAGGCTTGCCTGTCTGAGTGCTTGGTGTTGCCAAGTTTAAATAGATGTAGGTTTCTCTGATGAACATCATTTTATCATTTTACTTTCATGGCCTTTCTGCATTGTGTTACGAGTGGGTTGCGCCTGTTAGCAAGAAGTTCCAAGCTATTATTACTGATAGTTATTCATATGTAACTACACTTTCACCTCTGGCTTTAAATTCCTCTATTTTGGCTCTGGCCTAATATTTCATTTCTAATTACATTGTCATTTCCAGATTGTGTTTGCTACTTTCTTTTTTCTTGGCAACTGCAGTTTCTAACACAAAAGTTCATTTTTAACCCAACTTTTTATTATGATCTCTTCATTAATGATAATATGCACACAATTATATATGTGTAAATGATTATAGCTTGAAGACTTTTAATTTAAAGGTTGTTTTATGTGTATGTATGGGTCTTTTGCCTACATGAATGCCTGATGAGGGAAATATCACCAAACTCCATTCCTGCATGAAGAACCATAGGCAAATAAATTAATCAGTCTTCCCCATGGATGAGACATCTTTTGGTTATCTAATATAGTCAGGCCTAAAAGCATATACATGAGAAATACTACATGGAGTCATCAGAATTTGTGTGTGTGTGTGTGTGTGTGTGTGTGTGTCTAACAAAATAACTAGAGAAAACGAAGCAATAATTTCATAGGAATCCGGGAGATGTGGTGATCAGAAAGAGAATAATAAAGGGAAAATGATGTAAATGTGTTATACATATGTAACATTTTCAGTTAACCAAAAAAATCTAATTCAGGGGCTGCAGACAAAGTTCAGGGGTTAAAAGTACATGCAGCTCCTACAGAGGACCCAAGGTCTGTCCCCAGCACCTGAATAACAGCCCACAGCCTGTTTAACTCGAGCTACAGGAGATTTGACTGCACTCACACAAACAAACTCCAACACAGGTGCAAGCTTATGCACACAAAGATAGATCTTTACAAAGATAAAAATAAATCTTTCCCAAAAGAGTACATACAACATATGCAACTCTAATGCATTATGTAAGAACATGTGTCTCCAACAATCGAATGTCCCGAAATCAAATTTCCTGAAAGTATGTTTTCTATAGTAAAAAAAGTCAGGTTCTGCTATGGGAACTATGGGGAGTAGTTCAAAGCCCTCACAGATATGACTGACTCAACGTTCATGCATCTTAGAACACCAAAGCAAGTCCCAGGCCCTCGGGCCTTTTGCTCAAGTTGTGGTCTTTTTGGATCCCTCTGGTGATTTTCATTGCTCATCACCAAATGTTAACCATTATTCTCCATGCATAGCATGTATTTCTCTACCTCCTAGATGGCCACTGTAATCTCAATAATCATCGTGCTAGCATGTATTTTTCAAGTAGTTTTTTTTTTTTTTTTTTTTAGACAGGGTTTCTCTGTGGTTTTGGAGCCTGTCCTGGAACTAGCTCTTGTAGACCAGGTTGGTCTCGAACTCACAGAGATCCACCTGCCTCTGCCTCCCGAGTGCTGGGATTAAAGGCGTGGGCCACCACCGCCCGGCAAGTAGTTTTTTCTTGATGAGTAGT